AAAAATCAAAAATATGATTTAAAACATCGTTATTATGGCCGCCGCGGCAGAAAGTTTGCACATCGGACACTTATTTTTGCTCGACCAATTAGTAAGTATCATTATTCATATTAATGAAGATAAAAGCTAAAGCTCCAGGTGTAATTAGAGAATTGAGAGGAGTGCTTTCAGAATATCCTGTGGATGTATGGAAGGATCAGATGATCAAGCTAAAATATCTCCTTTCATTATCATATTAACTCATGAGGATGACATTAATATTGTTGAAGCATTTGATCTCCTTTGCTGAAACTCGATCATCTAATCCAACTTTAGATATAATATTGGATAGAATAAAGGAGCTAGTAGAGAAATGTGAACTTGATTATCTGCAACTTAGGCAGATGATAATACAATTAAGAATAGAAACTAATAATAGAATAGAAACCCATTATGAAGTTCAGCAATTAAGGGCAGAATTTGCTGAATTTAGAGAGCTTCTACAAAGGTATTCTTCATTCAAAACGAGAATTGTGTAATTATAATAGTGGATTATGAATTTGGGATGTACTTATTGTATCAAAACAGACGTTTCAATAAAATTTATTTAAAATTAACATTCTTTTATTCACAAGAAATCATTTTTCCGATTCGAATTGTCTATTTACCTTTTCCAGATATTAATATGAGCATTGGATTCTTGGTTGCTATTTTATTGGTGATTAAGGACGAAAATTAATTTTGCGCGTTCGAATGACCCCAGCCGTTCATGCATATTCAAATCGTACTTAATATTCTGTGTCAATTTTTTACACACACATTGTCAATAGTTACCTTTAACAAACATTTAAATTATATGAGCATTGGATTGTTGTTGCTATTTTATTGGTGATTAACGACGAAAATTGATTTTGCGCGTTCGAATGACCAAGCCAGCCGTTCAAGCATATTCAAATCGTACTTAATATTCTATGTCAATTTTTTGCACACACATTGTCAATAGTTACCTTTAACAAACATTTAAATTATATGA